AGGTATCTGGGCATCTCTGGTCTGGAATCAACCCAGGGTCCTCCAGGACGAGCTGGAGACAGGGTCTGGGTTTCTCTCCTGGACCTGCTGACACCACGGCCCGGCTGCGGCTCCGCGGTAGAAGATGGAGATCAAACGAAGCTTGGTGGCTCTGACTGATCCGTCACATCCGGTGGATGTGATTGGTCCGTCATATCTGGTGGATCTGATTGGTCCTTCACATCCAGTGGATCTGATTGGTCCGTCAAATCCGGTGGCTCTGATCGGTCCGTCACATCCAGTGGATCTGATCGGTCCATCACATCCTGTGGATCTGATTGGTCCTTCACATCCTGTGGATCTGATCGGTCCATCACATCCGGTGGCTCTGATTGGTCTGACACATCCAGTGCCTCTGATCGGTCCATCACATCCAGTGGATTTGATTGGTCCATCGCATCCAGTGGATTTGATTGGTCCATCGCATCCAGTGGATCTGATTGGTCCGTCACATCCAGTGGCTTTGATTGGCCCATCACATCCAGTGGATCTGATTGGTCCATCACATCCAGTGGATCTGATCGGTCCATCACATCCAGTGGCTCTGATTGGTCCATCACATCCTGTGGATCCGATTGGCCCTTCACATCTGGTGGATCTGATTGGTCCGTCACATCCAGTGGATCTGATCAGTCCGTCTCATCTGGTGGATCTGATCGGTCCATCACATCCAGTGGATCTGATCGGTCCATCACATCCAGTGGCTCTGATTGGTCCGTCACATCTGGCAGCTCTGATTGGTCCGTCACATCGCAGCAGAACGTTTCTGATTGGTCCCAGCTCTGGTGCCGAGCGCAGCATCAAAACAACAACTCTGTAGATTTCTATTAGATTAAATATGACTGAAGTGAGATCAGCTGCACAAACACGGAACCAGTCAATCAGAACCCAACAGAACTCTATTGAAACTGAAGAATAAAGTAAACAGAACCTCTGTGTGTCTCTGAGCCCTGAGGTTTGGCAAAAAGTGCTTCGACCAACCGGCTTCACTTCCTGTCGCCTCAGTTATTGCCTTGGGCCCAACAGAGCGCCGAACTGACCAATGGGAGGCCGGCTCTGCGGGGAGTGGGCGGGTCTTTTCATGAAGCCAGTTGGTGCTTCAGGTGTGGCAGCAGATAAATCCCAAACGCTGAGAAAAGTTTTCTGTTTCTCACTAATGCAGTTGATTGGCTGATCGTCCGACCAATCAGATTGCAGGATTACACTGATCGCTCTTAAAGGACCGTATGCGTTTTTTTTCTCTCACAAGGTTAGTTTAGCGCAGATGTTCGTCTGGATTTATGTTCAGATAAAAATTTACAATAAATAATCTTAAAAACTGAAATGAAGAAAAAAAAACTGCAGTTTGGTCCTTTAAACGAGCTTGACAGAAACGTCTCATCCTCCTGTTGGGTTTTCCAACACTGTGAGACGTTCAATGTTCATCATCAGCAATGGAAAACACACCAACTGAAGAGCAACAGACTGAAACGTGTCGGTAGAAAACCAGCATCTACACTCTCTTTATCTGTCTAAGCAGGTGACCTGAACGCACCATAAGAACCATCCAAGAGTCAGGAACTGTCTGTAAAAGCATTTTCAGGTGAGGTACAGGTGAGTCAGGAACTATCAGTAAATGCATCGTCAGCTGGGATACAGATAGGTCAGGAACTGTCAGTAAACGCATCGTCAGGTGAGGTACAGCTAAGATAAACTATCAGTAAGCGCATCGTTAGGTGAGGTAGAGCTGGATCAGGAACAGTCAGTAAACGCATCGTCAGGTGAGATACAGCTGGGTCAGGAACTGTCAGTGAATGCATCGTCAGGTTAGGTACAGCTGCAATAAACTCAGGAAACGCATCATCAGGTGAGGTACAGCTGGGTCAGGAACTGTCAGTAAACGCATCATCAGGTGAGATACAGCTGGGTCAGGAACTGCCAGTAAATGCATCGTCAGGTGAGGTACAGGTGAGTCAGGAACTGTCAGTAAATGCATCGTCTGGTGAGGTACAGGTGAGTCAGGAACTGTCAGTAAATGCATCGTCTGGTGAGGTACAGCTGGGTCAGGAACTGTCAGTAAACACATCGCCAGGTGAGGTACAGCTGGGTCAAGAACTGTCAGTAAACGCATCGTCAGGTGAGGTACAGCTGAGTCAGGAACTGTCAGTAAACACATCGTCAGGTGAGGTACAGCTGGGTCAAAAACTGTCAGTAAACGCATCATCAGGTGAGGTACAGGTGAGCTTCCTGAACTCGGAGGAATATGGCAGCAGGTTTGAACCACAGGTCAAAGGTCATCCATAAACACCAGGACCGACCACTCTGACCTTGGATCAGTAAGAGGTCAAAGGTGAAACCAGGTGAACGACGTCCTTAAGCAGGACTGAGCAGCAGGTCCCGTGACACCTCGGCTGCAGGTAGGACGCTGACGAGCAGCGATGGCTCTGTGTTCCTTCGTTTAAACGTCAGTTTGTTGATTTACGACGAGCTGCTGGAGCTCAAACAAATAAAATCGTTTTTCTACACACTCAGGAGGATCCTGTCCTTCTTCACGCTGCCGTTTGGAGGAACCAGAACCAGCTGAGATCTGCAACTCCACTTTGGGTCAGAACATCGACGCTGCCTGAAGCAACAAACAAACCATGAGAACCTCAAGAACTGACTCAGAAAACAGGAAACTGAGGAAAAGTCACTCCAGGCTTCCAGCTGGAGCTGAGTGGAGAAGCTGATTGGACGAGGGCCGGTCAGGTGACTGTCTGCAGTCTGATTGGTCCACAGTAGGAAGTGCTGACAAACAGCTTTCACTTTTTAATTAGGTTAAATTTTTTTATCTTCAAACCTGCATCAGATTTTCTGAAAGTAAAGTCTAACAGGTCCGCGGCCACCTCGTGGTCAGGTTGGACGCAGCGGCCATCTTAGATCTGGCTTCCTTCAACTAATCAGGATTCGTCTCGTCTTCAACGATTATTGACGGATTATCTGTTAAAATGTTGAGTTCTCACATGAGCTAAAAAAATTAAGATGAAACTAAACGCTTTAAATATTTGATGAAATTTGATTTTTAAGTTTTGTTTTTTTAAGTTTGATTTAATCTGTTTTAATCTTACAGGAATATAAAACTTTAATCTTTTCATAAATTTATGTGTTTAAAGATAAAAGTGAATCTGTTTGAATAAAGTAATATTAACATGGCTGTTTGTCTTTTTGTCCTCCTGTTGTTGCCGTAATTTTAGAAAACAATAAATAAATAATCTGCTCAGTTCTTTGTCTCGGCTGTGTTGGGAACCAGAGGTCCGGGACACAGTCTGGGTTCTGGTTCTTGGTCTGAGACCAAATCCAGGGTTTTCAGGCATTCGGGTCGGGTCAGAACTTTGTTTAGTTGTTTCAGGCAGTCAGTGAGAACAAGGAGCAGATCAGAACGTCTTCCTCTGGGTTCTGGTTCTGGAGGTCCTCCGCTGGCCCGTCTACGTGTCTTTGGGCTCCAGCTTGCAGGACATGTCGAACAGAAGGTTCTGGTTGTCGATGACCTGCAGCTGCCGGACGTAGGCCTTGGTCTGCAAGTGGGACGGGGACGTCTCCGTATCCATGGCTACCAGAACAAACACAGACCCGTTTCAGCGTCAGAACCAGCAGAGACAGACAGATGGTAGGTGTTTGTGACACTTACCCAGCTGGGAGCTCCGGAACCGCCTGATGGTTCTGACCATCTCAGCCACTTTATGCTGCAGAACATCAGAGGAGACAAAGTTAACCCAAGTTCTGGCTCACAGAACCCGACCCCAACAAACATCCGATCCGGTTCTTTTAACAGACGTCTCCTGATTGTTTAACTCTTCTGTTCTGCTGGTTCTGATCCGTTTGGACCGTTTATGTTCCATCTGTTCTGTAATTTTCTGTCTCTCCTGGAGTCAGAACGGGTCTCTGCAGGTTTTGGAGACACTTTCAGGCGTCCCTGGAGACGGATTTGGATGTTTGAGTTGCTTTTTTACATCTTTTCTTTTTGTTTTTTAAATATCGACACGTGTTCCCTCAATGGTCGATGTTTAATATTTACATGAAACGTTCTGAATAAATTCCCCCATCTGAAACAAATCAGAACCAGCAACGATGCGTTCGGACGCAGCAGGAAACTTAACAACCATACAGACAGAAAGATGAACTCACCATCTTCTCAAAGTTGACGAGTTCTCCATGGAACGTCTTGCAGCTCTCGTGCAGAAACGTCAGGTCTGAGAACGACAGACAGAATGTCAGAACTGTTCTGATGGAGGAAGAAGAACTTCCTGTGAGACGGGTCGCAGGTTCTGAAAGCTGGACCCAAGAAGGTTTTAGTTTTACTGGTTCTGTCAGAGCCTGATGTGTTTCTGGGTTTTCACCACAGGGCGGCACCACCTCTACATTTACCGCCATCTTCCTCTCTGATGGTGTCGCTGTGGAAACGGAGCCTTCAGCCACATCACTGAACATGTTTCAGCTGTCCAACCAGCCGAGTCTCAGACTGGGACCAGTTTAATCCTGTTTTAACAGGAGCCCAGAAGTTTTCTGTCAGCATTGATCTTCAAATGCTGCCTTCAGGTCTGGCGACTCACAGGAACTGGGAAGGGCAAGGAAGGAGCTGGTTGCTGGTATAAAGAGGGCCAAAGCAACATAAGCACAGAAGATCCAGGGACATTTCTCCTCACAGGACCCACGGAGCATGTGGAGGGGCATTAACTGCATCACAGATTATAAAAGCAGGGGTGCATAACGCCCTAAGGATCCATCACTGCCTGATGCCCTCAACAAGTTCTATACCTGCTTTGAAGACCCGAACAGACCACCCAGCACCAGACTCACCACTGGATGAAGAGCTTCTCAGCGTGACCTCAGCAGATGTAAGGAGGACCTTCAGGAGGATTAATCCTCACAAAGCAACCGGCCCAGACAAGATCCCCAGGCAGGTGCTGAAAGAATGTGCTGATATGCTCTGTGAGATGCTGGCCGACATTTTTAACTCCTCCCTCACCCTGGCAACAGTTCCCAACTGCCTGAAGACTGCCACCATCATCCCAGTTCCAAAGAGCTCTAGAGTGACTGGTCTGATTGACTATCGGCCAGTGGCACTCACTCTGATAGTCGCTAAATGCATCGAAAAACTGGTCATGACCCACATCAAAACAACCATCAACATCAACGAGGACCCTCATCAGTATGCATACCATGAGAACCGATCAACAGAGGATGCCATCTCCTCTGTGGTCCACACTGCTCTCACCCACCTGGAGCAAAAAGACTCTTACATCCATATGCTCTTTGTGGACTTCACGTCTTCCTTCAACACCATGATCCCCCAAACCCTGACAGACAAACTACTCACACTAGGACTAAGCCCCTCCATTTGCAACTGGGTCCTAGACTTGTTAACAAACAGACCTCAGTCAGTGAGGATCCACAACTTCTCCTCCTCCACCATAACCCTCAGCACTGGCTCCCCTCAAGGCTGTGTGTTGAGCCCCCTCCTGTTCACTCTGCTCACGTATGACTGTGCACCTACCCATCCAGGCTGTCACATTGTAAAGTTTGCAGATGATACAGCAGTGGTGGGATGCATCACAAATAATGATGAGTCCAGCTACAGGCAGGAGATGGAACACCTGGAGAGCTGTCGCAAGGAGAATGACCTTCACGTCAATGTGAAGAAGATGAAGGAGATGGTTGTGGGCCACCTGCATCATGAAGGACCCCACTCACCCAGCACACACACTTTTTGCCCCGCTCCCCTCAAGAAGGTGGTTGGGGAGCATTAAGTGTAGAACAACTAGATTGAGGAACAGCTTCTACCCTGAGTCTGTTAGACTCATGAATCTCTAACCAGGATAATCACTGTGAAAAAAAATCACTGTAATGCCACTTGATTGTTGATATGTGCTGCTGATTATTCATGCTGCTGATCTCTTGCCTTTAAACTGCTGTTTTCATATCCATCTGCTCACTACAGACTCATGTTCAGGCTGTTGTTTAATACACTGTATGATTTTAACATTAATGGTGTTTATCTTAGATCCTTGTATACTGTTTGTTTTTATACTTTATATTTTTGCTATTTTTGGATGTAACTGGGACACAGTACATAATTTCATTCCACCTCATGTGATGAGAATGACAATGAAGAACCTTGAACAAAGACGAAAAAATAAACAAACCAAAAATAGAGTCCGGTCTGTTGGAGTCCGGTCTGTTAAGAGTCCGGTCTGTTAAGAGTCTGGTCTGTTGG